GACCAACAGATTCAACGGGCTGGGCTCAAAAGTCACGCGTGATATTTGTGAGGACAGAACGTGGATTTTCCATTCTCTTCCAAGATGTGCTGTTTCTAGAAAAACCGAGCCCGGCGTTACCAGGGCTGGCAATTTCACCTCGGCTCTGAGAATTGTAGTGTTTTAATTTGTTTGTTTGTTTGTTTTTCCTTAAGACTTTAGCTGTGGGAGTGACTCTCAACTTTCATGTAAAAATTACCCATGTAATTACAATTATACATAATTATAACTATATTTATAGTTATTCCTTCATGATTTCTTGTAATCATAAGATCTTGTAATTTAGGGAAGAGGGGAAAGAAAACAGCTTTAGGTGCATGTAAAATAGGCTGGAGGGGGGGGAAAAATCCATAGTTTGAATGCCTCCACCATGTGTGGGGCACAGAGAGCTTTTCTGACGAGCCGGTGCCCCGCCACGCGCGGTGTCCCCGGGAAGGATCCCTGCAGCCCAGCTGCGTGGGCTGGGTTTGCTCGTTTGGCTAGGAGCTGATGGCAACGTGCAGAGGTTCCCATCGCTGCTGCTGCTGTGATGCAAATGTAAACGCTGTAAAACGCTCCTTCTGCAAACAGGACAGGAGGCATGCCGGGCTCCATCTGTGGGGCGGGGGAGCTACATCGCCGTGACAAGCAGCTGGAAAATGTTGGAGGGGGGGAGACCCCAGCGGCAGCAACTCCTTTGGGGTCCGAGTTGTTCCTGGAGGTGCTGGCGAGTGGTTTTGTGCTGTTATCCAAACACCTCTGGGTTTAGACCGATGCTCTTTTTGGGTTTCAGCTAACAGGACAAGCATGGCCAATTCTGAGCTCGAAGAGGGCTTTCTCAGTGGTGGATTACATGGCCAGCAGCAGGCAGCTTCCCAGGAGTGGCCAGGCAGCAAGGAGCCGAGCCGAGGGCTTGCTGGCCTCAGTGGAGCGGGCAGAGGGAGGAGGAAAGGTGAGATGCAGCTCCTGGAGGGACAGGAGCTTGCTGGAAGCCTTGTTAACGCGGGGCTGGCTCTGTCACCCTGGGCAAGCCGCCTCCAGCTATCCCTGCTGGTCCCCCCTTAATACTAAGGCTGCTCTGCTTCATTGCAAGAAGGAGAGGTGTAGGTGGAAGACGCAGTGTAGTTTAGGTGAGACCCATCGTACCAGCCTCTAGCGCTGATTGAGACCCGAGGCTGCTACAGCTGCAGGGCTGTAAGAGCGGCGAGCAAAATGCGGTTTCCATGTGTAAAACTGCATGAAGTTGCAGCGTGAACACCACCGATGCGTGTGCCAAGGGCACTGGAGCAAAGAGAGGCCAAAGAAGTGATTCAGGGTCCCCGGAAAAGCCACTTGTTTATGAAAGTTTGAGGATTTCAACCCATTCAGTTTATCCAACATAAGCCTGAGAGAGTGGTGACTTAACGTTAACAGGGGAATTGTACCAGGTTCAAGAGAGTTTAAGTGCTTTGGAAGTGGGCAGTGCCAGACATCTCTTAATTGATGTCTGCCACAATTGATGTCTGCCAACTTCAAATTAGACATAAGGCTCCAAGTTATAGCAGGAGAGTTCCTGTTGCAAGGCAATGAACTGTACTGAGGTACCAACCTTTGGAACAACCGAATCCTTCAGATCAGCCAGCCGTCGCCTTTCTGGGAAAGCCGCTTTCATGTTGTTCAGATGAGGCTGAAGAGGTGCGTCATTATATTGAGCTTTATAGCCTGAGTTACACAGGATAAGACTAAACAAATCAATAAAACTTCGTGATAGGTAGCCACCTCATCCTAACATGGCTTATTTGTGCATCAGATTGATGACCTACGGTGCCTGCATTTGGGACAATAAGGGAACAAGTTTCCTCTGGAGCAATCTCTCTGTGTTCCCAGGAATTGCTGATGAGCTGGAAATTTTTATTAATGAGGCTACTTAGATCCTGAAAGGGGGAGGGAGCTGTGATCGCAGCATGGGGGGAATCTTCAGCACGGCAGTTTTATGGCTGCAGGCGTTGGTGCAAGTGCCGCTGTGTTGCCATTGCTTTTGGGTGTTAGCAAGAATAACAGCTTGACAGCATCGTTCGGACAGCCCCATGAGTGCCCCATCGAGCTCTTGCGATACCCTAACCACGACACCACCAAAACACTGCTTGTCGTTAGGACACTCATTAATTTATGACTCACTGTCGAAGCACTTTGGAGCAGTAATCACAAAGTAGGACTGCGCTGTGCAAACACAAAACCTAAGGGCACTCCCTGCTTCAGAAAGCTTTCAATCCAAACATTGCAGTCTGAACACACCGCAAGAGACAGCCCATGGGATATCGACAGAAGATGTGGAAACAACAGGCTGACATTGATCAGCATAAGAACGTATTCTTAACACTCAATTTAGCTTGCCTGGAAAGATTGATTCCTCTTCCATTAGGATGTAACCATATTTGATTTTTTTTTTTTTTTTTTTTGCACTTTCTGGATTGGGGTTGAGAGCCTGCTACGTTTACCAAAGGGTTTATGGGGGGGTTTTTCGCCTGTGACTTTACAGCAGTTCTTCTTTATCGGTCCTTTGGTGTTTACATATTTTTTTTTTTTTTTTTTTTTTTTTTGCACTTTCTGGATTGGAGTTGAGAGCCTGCTACGTTTACCAAAGGGTTTATGGAGGGATTTATCGCCTGTGACTCTTTTGTTGGCTTTGCGAGTGTCGGTGCGCAGCGGCAGGCTGTTCCCGTGTGTGCAGGCTGGCTTGTCGTGACACCAAGCACAGCAGTCGCAACGTCAAAGCATTCACTTCCCCAAGAGGGTGTTTAACCAGTCAATACGGTGTCTTCTGTGTTACCAAACCTGAATCCCTGGGGGTCATTCGCATGGGCTTGGGAGTATTTACCAGTCCGTGCAGTTGTGAAGCTGTGCGGTGTTACCATAGCATCCCAACAACACAAGCAAACTCTGCTCGGGACATCTCTGCATCGCCAGATCCTGCTCTGACTTCAACTTACTTGAAACTGGATTTAAAACGGGGAATAGTCACTTGCAGGATGGGTTGTAATAAGTGCAGGGGATCTAAACCGGCTAGCTGCAGCGCTGGGAGCTGGGGAGCATATAGCAGCGAGGTAAATGAGGCTTTCCTGAGTCTCTCCTGCGTGGGCTGGGTTGCTACTGGCACAGAAAAGAAAGCCTGAACTTTGAATGGAAGACAGATTCATCCTTACCTAAAATCAGTGGTGCTGCATGGCGGTAAATACGATTAAAAAATGGCTTTTGATTGATCTGGCCCTTGATAGTGCAAACCAGGGTGAAGTTCAGTTCTCTTACCTCCGAGGCTGCTGAGAACAGCTTTGCCTTTATGATAGTTTCTCTGGCAGCAGGCTTGTATTTTACCTGGCTGGATTGCTTTCTGGTTTGTGTGCCGCGTTGCGCAAAAAATCCCTGTCTGCTGATAAAAAGGAGTTGAGGCTGGAATGCAACCAGATAAAATCCAGCAGCTGGGGCTTGCTTTGGTGGGAGTTATTCTTGCCTGACCGTAGGACTCTCAATCACGCTTTCAGATTCAACCCCTGTCTTCTCCAGACAACCCAGAGGAGCTGCAAGAGCGCAGCCCGTCTCCCTCTGTGAACTCAGAAGGACCTGGAGCTACGTAAAGCAGCTGGTGGCTTCTGCCTTGTTGCTAGCGATGTACGGATGAAATGAACCCTAGCCTGTCTACATCAGCCATCAGGTCAAGTATAGTTGGGTGTGCACAACACGCAAGTTCGCTTTATACTCAATATATTATTTTTTTATTATTTTTTTCTTTTTTTGCTGGTGGAAGCTGAGCCAGCTTGCAGGACAGGGAGGAATCTTGCCTCGTATGTCTCTGGTTCAATCTCCCCCTTTCCCTCCTTCAAAAAGAGAATTTCCTTTTAGTAGCTGGGATCTCCAGCCAACTTGTATTCTTCCCGCAGAGAAGGAAGTACATATTTTTAATAGGCTGTGGCCAGAATATGTAGCCAGCGCTATCTTGCGGTCCTGACGAGGGGAAGAGCTGAAGGATGACACATTCAGGCCAGACTTTGAAACCTCATGGAGGATTTACAACCTGGTAGTAAAGAGATTTGTCCCTTCAAGGCTATTTGAAAAAGCAGAAAGCCCATAAAACTAAATTTTGCCTCTCCCTCTTCTGCATAGGAGCCCAGAATTTTAAGCAGAAACCTGTCCTGTCTCCCTTTGGGTGTGAACTGGCACATTGGGTATTTCCACGTGCAGGGTGCAGCCCACCTAAACCACCTTTATTTTAGCGCTAACAGGAGAGAGAAGGCAAAACCACGGTGGCCAGGAATAGCTGCGGCATCTCTCTTCTGCTGCCCTCCTTCCCCTGCGTGGCACAGAGTTGCTGGGTGCTGCTGGCTGAGTACGCTGTGTGTCCAAGGCTGCAGCTGGCTTTGGTTTATATTAAACTAGGCTGGACCTGGCGCTAAGCTGAGGCCCCTTATCTCCTTTCTGCTGGAAGGAGAAGGGAGCAGGGGAGCTACCTGCTCTGCAATAGAGTTAAAAATCAATGCGTATTCCCCCTCTTCTCATTTCAAAATCCATTTAGGTAAGCGGAGAGGAACGGAGAAGCCTTGAGGAAAGGGGGATCGGACCTGTGCTGTTGTAACTCTCTGCCAAGGGAGCCCAGAGGAGCCCCTGCTTCACGTCCCTTGGCTGCACATGTGGCAGAGGCAAAGGGAGGTGCGGAACAAAGCCAGGTCTGAGCGCAGGGACACGGTGCCAGGTGTGTCCTGGCCCTTCTCTGGCCCTTCCCTTCTCTCCGGCTCAAATTCAGCAGGTTGACGAGGGTGGGAAGGCAGCCAGGCACACCCAGCTCTCCAAGGCAGTAAAATGATCCCTCTTTTGCCCTTGGGCTAAGCCCAGCTTTTCTAACAGATAAAAGGAGAAGCAGGCAGGAGGACTCGCTCACTTCCCTGGTCTCCAGCACAGCTTCCCTGAGCTTTTGAAGGGTAGGGGATACTGAAAACATCCTCAGAGCAGCCATGTCCCGGTCCGTGAGTTTCAGCTCTCGCTCTGTGGCCGTCCCAGGGATCAGCCAAATGCGGGTCAGCACCGTCTCCTCGACCCGTGGACTAGGAGGGGGTGCCAGCTTAGGCAGGACAGGTGGCTTTGGCAGCTACAGCCTCTACAACCTCGGCTCCGCCAACAAGCGGATCTCCCTTGGAGGTGGCAGCTCCTACAGCAGTCACTCTGGATACAGCTACGGAGGCATGGGATTCGGTGGGGCGCTCAGCCCCGGCGGCATTCAGGAGGTCACCATCAACCAGAACCTCCTGGTGCCCCTGAATCTGGAGATTGACCCCAATATCCAGCGGGTGCGCACGGAGGAGAAGGAGCAAATCAAGACACTCAACAACAAATTCGCCTCCTTCATTGACAAGGTGAGGTGTTGGGAAGACTGATAGCCAGGTGGACACTGCTTAAAAGCAGGTCTGACCCAAAGCTCGCTTAACCCAGTGGGGGATTCACAAATGGGCTGAGGATCAGGTCCTCAAGAGCATGGTGTGATTTGCCTACTGCAATCCAATAACTTATTAAAGCCCTCCTTGCATTGCCGTCAGTACAGGGTTTTGCCCTGCTTAGGCCAGCTTTGTACCCTCTTTATTTAGCTGGTATTGCCCATAATGTGGGTGCAGGCTTTAAAGATCAAATCTGCACCCAAGCACAGCAGCACCAAATTCAGGGAGGAGGGTGCCTCTTGGAGAGGAATCATCCCAGTAGAACAGATCTTGACATCAGTCGGAGCTTGCTGTGTTTGTTTGCACTGCCCTGTACCTCTGTTGTTTTACTGTCTTGCGCTAATTGATCCTATGTCCTGTGTAAACTTCAGCTCTGGCATCCTCAAAATGCAAGGAATCCAGACCTGGAGTAATTGGCTGACTCTGAGGTCTGCGGATGGCTTCTGTCAAGCATCAGGCAAGCAGAAGCTGCTTATCTTTAATTCATACAAAGCCTTAAAGTCATAAGCCGAGCCCCGGAGTAGCAGTGCTCCCTCCTGGTCTTTATCACCCTCCAGATTTTAGGTGCTTCCTATGAGCGATATGAATTCTTCAGATACCATCCTCAGCCTGTCCTTCCCCTGGGATCCCAACTCTGTAGTGTGAGCCCCCCCTTCCTCCCACTTTCACAAATGACCCCTTGGTTGCTTTCCAGGTCCGGTCCCTGGAGCAGCAAAACAAAATGCTGGAGACCAAATGGAGCCTCCTCCAGGACCAGAAGACTGCCCGGAGTAACATTGCTCCCATGTTTGAGACGTACATCAACAACCTGCGACGTCAGCTGGATGGGTTGCTGAATGACAAAGGGCGTTTGGAGGGCGAACTGAAGAACATGCAGGATCTTGTTGAGGATTTCAAGGCCAAGTAACGTATAATCTTCCCATCTAACGGTGTAGTTGAGCTGGCAGGTTGGTCAGTAGATTGGCAGAGATGTCCCCAGCTTTTCCGCTAGGGAGGGAGATTTTTTTCCAGCCATGAGTTAGGGGTCTAGTCCAGGGAAGCTGCCTGGATTCTTCCGGCCTAGATCGCTCATTGTTCCTGGCACCTTGTTCCCATGTGGTCTTCAGTGGCTGCATCCTCTCGGCTTTGCTTTGGGGCCTCTGGCTTCGTACTTTGGGTTGGCCGTGCTCATTCAGGTGTGTAGGAACCCCTTGGGAGCGCAGCAGGTTGGCAGGTGGTGGGTGAGCTCTCCTTGTTCTGTGGGTAGGTAATGGAGCAGGTCACCTGCAATTTTTAAGTGACTTTTCAGTCCAAATCGTGTCGCTTGGGAGGAGTCCCATGAAGAAAGTAGCCTTTGTCCCAGCTGGTGCCCAACCCAGCTGTGCAGGGGAATGCCTATTAAAAAAAAAAAGGAAAGAAAAGAGGGAGTTGGCAAACTGGATCAAGCAGGAACTGAAAACAAACAGATCTGATAATCCCCAGGGTGTGTTTAGGGAAAGTCAATAGCCAGCGCTTCCCAAGGAGGTGCGTGGTAATGATGTTCCCCCAGCCCTGCTCAGTTATTTCTACTCTGTGCTCGTCCACAGTTGTACTTTGCGTCTCTGCAAGGCAGCAGCAAGGAGCTGGTTTGCACCCAGAGGAACTAAGCTCTGAATTTAGTTGCATGTCACATGAATGCAAGGTGCACAGGCGCGTATGTATTCCTCCAGCTTACAGGGCCGTGTAAAACCAAACCCTGTATGTGTTAAGAGAAGGGAAGCAGGAATTAGGAGCCTAAGATGCTAGTGCAGCAGAGGGAGTGAGGATGTAGTAACTGGAGTTCAGAACCTGCTTCTCCCCATTTATATGAAGAAATCTCATCTTCTAAGTAGCATACCTAAAGCCTGACTAGCTCTTTCTGTCTTTGTTGCCTCTTTTTCATATGTCCCATTTACACAGTAATTCTCGGTTTACATCTGGGGTAAGGGAGGAGATTTATATGCACGAGGCTCCAGGGGATGAGATTCAGTCCCTTATTCCGTAACTGCATTGAGTAAGGGTGTGTTCAAAGGAAGCAGGGGTAGGAGCAGGCTGCGTTCGCGCTGTCCACGTGGCTTGGTGCGGAGCATGCCAAGGTGTGGCAGTGCACTGAGCTTCCCCAGGCGTCCTCGGGAGCTAATGGAGAATATTGAAGGATTTGGCAGTCCGTTGACCAGCTTGGTGGAGCTTTCCCCAGGAAATGAGGAATCTGTCAAACCATTCTAGAATAATTCAGTCTTTCTACCTGTCTCGGATTACCCGTTCTGTGCTGCAGGCTGTGCATATGCAGCGCGATCATGTAATTTCCAGGTCATACATTGCTCTGCAATAGCAACGGATGCAGTTCATTGACTTCAAAAGGGACAAGGTCCATTTGTGCCAGTGTGGATGGGCAAGGTTCCAGTGTGGAGCAGAAGGGGAAGTACGTGAAGGATGTTGAAAGTGAAGTAGCTCATGCTTTGGAAGGCAAATTACAGCGCTAGCCATGCAGGGGCTGTGTAAATAAACAGCAGTGTTCTAACTGTGGCAACAGCAGTTCCGAAACAGCCAGAGAAAGTGGCTCCTGCTCTGTTCCTTGGATGACTTCCAGCATTCCTATAGCAGATTCTTGCTGTTTGCTTCGGCAGGTTGGCTGATGCGGAATGGTGCAAGGCAGGCTCTGAGAGCCAGGCTTGCGAGTGGCACAAGTCAGTGAACTCCCATAAAGTCAATGGAGCGTGATTTTTATCTGCTGAGGAGCTAGCTCGTTACATCTAAAGCTGAACACCCAAGGAAGGGATGTAGCCAATATTAGAAGTCTGTGTGACTTTGAAGCATAACCACTTTGTGCAGAGTGAGAATAATTATACCCAGCTCTTACCGGGACAGCGGCGTGTGATTGACACCTGCAAAACGTTCTCAACTGTCTGTAATAAGGAGGTGCACGGTGAAAGCGGCATGAGCAGGCGCTTTGATCAGCATAGAGGAATTTGTTGAATCTCCTTGCATCCCTTCTGCATTTGTATTTGCTCTCTCAAGGGGCAAGTGAAAAAGCTGAGAGCCTCGGGACATAGACTGCCATCCTGCAGCTGTCCGTGACTGAGGATAAGGAGCAGAAATCTTAAGTGCAGTGAATTTTGACGAATGTGGGAAAGCATGGGTGAGAAAAGCTTTCCAGGTTAGTGGTCGTGGTGGTTTGAACCAGAGCAGCTTTCAGGCATCAGCTCATCTAAACAGTACCCTGGAACTGTGGCATGCAGCTGGTACCTCTTGTGCAAATAATACACGTGCTGCAGGGGTACAGCAAACCTCTGCCTGCGGCTGGCTTGCTTGGGGAAGTCATAGGCTTTGCCGAGGTGGTTCACGAAGAGAGAAACGGAGGGAGAGAGAAGGGAATCGGGGTAACTGTTCACTGTGACATTTCTTCCTTTTACCCAGGCGCTAACTTCACACCAATCCCTTTTTTTTTCTGGCAGATATGAAGATGAAATCAACAAGCGCACGGCAGCAGAGAACGAGTTTGTGGTGCTCAAGAAGGTGCGTGCCATGGATATCACCTGGGACTGGTCATATACGTTTGCAGCCCTTCTACCCCCTTTGCCCCTACACTCTCTTTGCTACAGCTGTGCCTAGAGACCTGCAGGTGGAGAATTACAGCTCTCAGGTCTGGCTGAAGGCTGCCTCTGTGTAGGCACTGAAGTCTCTATAGGAAGCCAGGAAGGAGTGCCAGATCCCATGGATATCATCGATTATGGCTATATCTATCTTTGGGACATTTCCTAAGGCCTCCCCTGACTGTCCGAACTGACAGTGGACTTGCAAACACAGGTCCAGGGGACACTACAGAACATAGGGGATCCTGCGCACCAGCAATATTTAGTACACTGATAGATAATTTTTAGGCCATGGGGGGTTGTTGGGCAGATGCACGTGGAGAGCAGACAGCTTGGGGAACTCGATGGGCTCATGGCTGCTTTTGAAGCCATCAAAGGCTGGGTGGACTTAGTCATCAAAGCTACGGCAGTCTCAGTGGATTATCGCTCTTTTTTAGGATGTGGATGCCACCTACATGAACAAAGTGGAGCTGGAGGCAAAGGTGGATGCGCTGACAGATGAGATTAACTTCCTGAGGTCTCTCTATGAAGCGGTAAGGTCCTTTTGTGGCTGCTGAAGTGTAGCACCACCGGTGGGTGAAGAATAGGGAATGGTGACTGAGAAAATGAATGTGCTGTTTCCAGAGACAAGAAGGGTGATGGAGACGTGGAGTCTTCCCTTGCATAAGCAGAAATAAGCCTGCAAGTAAAGTGCACGTCCTGTGAATTGTCACAGTGATTTTTCTCCCTGTCTGGGATGTGAGATGGATTTATTGCAAATGTAGTCAGGACATGTGTTATTTTTGTGATGCTGTTAGTGTGAAAACAAGGAAAACCAGTGTATCATAGCCAGTGCTGTAGTGCCGGTGTGTGCTTGTGTGCTGTGTGAGAGAAAGAAAGGCAAGCTCCTTGTCCCAGATGCCTTTATCTTACCCATTACTTGCAAGACAAGAGTTTGATTGAACTGGACACCTTGCATCTTTGGGCGAGGTGGTGGAATTTGGCCCTCGCTTTGCTGTGAAGCTGATGCTCAAGTTTCTCGGACTGGCATTACATGCTGGGTTCTTAGCGCAGGAGAGGGGTAAACTAATGTTGCTGTTAAAATGCGGGTGATAAGAGGTAGCTCCATTTCTGCTGTTGTTTGTTACTGTGTCCTTTGCAAGGCTGATGTGATTCAGTTGCTTTCCTTCTAGTTAATGTTTTGATTGAATTCTTCTTATCTGCCTCCCTTTCCCATTTCTTCTCGGATTCTCTCTTTAATTGGCTTCCAAAAGAGAGGCCCTTAAAAATCAGTGATTAATGGTATTGTTTTTAATGCAATTGGCAGGAACTTCACGAGCTGCAGGCCCAGATTTCTGACACCTCTGTGGTGCTCTCTATGGATAACAGTCGAAACCTGGACCTGGACAGCATCATCGCAGAGGTCAAAGCACAGTATGAGGAGATTGCCAACAGGAGCCGGGCAGAGGCTGAGTCCTGGTATCAAAGCAAGGTGAGTTATGGGCGAGAGAAAGGCAGTTACAGCTTCTGTTACTACACATATCCTGCGTGTCATGAGTGGGAGAGATTTTAGCTGGCTAATTGACTGCCAGCCTGACTCCATCCCTTTCTCTTATACCGTTCTGTGTCACAGTACGAGGCACTGCAGGTCACTGCTGGGAAACATGGAGATGACCTGCGCAACACGAAGAATGAGATCACAGAGATAAACCGAATGATCCAGAGGCTGCAGAGTGAAATCGAAAATGCGAAGGCCCAGGTAAGGAGCTGCACTTGTTCTGCTGCTGCAGAGCAGTGGATTTAGCAGCAAGAAGTGTGCCAGGGATCTGGGTGCACCACAACGTCTGTAGAAGCAGTTTGGGGGTGGTTGCAATGCTCGCCTCAAAAGATGTCAGTTCTGCTGGAGGGAGAAACTGTGCTGTGAGCAATGAAATACTGAGAGGCAGCTGAACTATAGGTGAGAACAAGTTCGCCAGCGACCTGGGAGCGCAGCAGGGGAGTGATGCAGAGCCGTTTCCAAAGGGCAAGGCTGCATGTGGCCTCCCTCCCAGCCACCCGCATTCCTTGTACCCTTTTGCTTCTGGGATCTTTGTCCACTCCCTTTTAGCAGAAGGGAACACCATGTTTGGGCACATAAAAGAATTTTTCAGCTGTACGGGAGTTCTGTTTGCTTTCTCCAGGGGCCGTTATCACTTCATGAAATGGCTGGTGAAAGCCAGACCAGTGAGTGGTTCAGACCATGTTCGGGTCTGAAGACTGGCTGTGAATAACCAGGGTGCACAAAGCTGGAGATAAGCCATTGTGATTCATCCACTTGTGTTTATTTGGTTTCAGGGCAGGGAGGCTTCAACACACACTTCCAAGCAAAGAGCTGACCCAGTGCAGCTCCCTTGAATAATGAATGAGAGTATAAAGCACTCGTGTTCATTGTGAGCCCTTCCTGCCAAACATGGGGCTTTTTTGGAGGTGCAGGGGACACAGCTGAGGGTGCGTTAGAGTGCCAGCTTGATGTGGCCCCACAGGGATGCTTTTGGGGTAGCTCTGTGTTGTTTTTTTAACTGCAGGTCTGCTCGAGTCCATGCTTGCCTCACATCAAAGCTCGCTGGAGACCAATTGGCTCTGAACAAGCTCTGGGGCACAATAGGAGGGAAAACCTGAGCTTGCATTAACCCTAAGTGTTGTGCTGTTGTGTGCAGTGTGGGTGGGCTGAGAAGCTGAGGATCACCTAAAGAAAGTCTTCCAAAAATGTAGCCAGTGGAGAGAAATAGGGTCTGCCTTTCAGAAGAACGTATCTTGGGATGAGATGAGCTCTCTTTGCAGGCTGATCTCCATCCAATGCCCAAAAAAATGCGTAGGCATGAATTTCTAGTGATCTAAGTTGAGCAGATGGCTCCAGGGCTCTGCAGATACACAGAGATGGTCTGGCCAGTAGATGTCAGGAGTCCATGGGCAATGGTGTCTTCCACCAAGGAGGCGAGATGCCCACTGACGTACCCTGCTCCGTCCCTGCAGCGTGCCAAGCTGGAGGCAGCCATTACTGAAGCCGAGGAACGTGGTGAGTTGGCTGTCAAAAATGCCAAGACAAAGCTGGAGGAGCTGGAGGCTGCCCTGCAGAAGGCGAAGCAGGACATGGCCCGGCAGCTCCGTGAGTACCAGGAGCTCATGAACATCAAGCTGGCCCTGGACATCGAGATCGCAACCTACAGGAAGCTGCTGGAGGGCGAGGAGAGCAGGTGGGTGCAACCTGTGGGTTTTACGTGAGGAAGGGTCCACCCTTTGTTCCCTTTGGGGACATTGTGAGGGCCCAATTCCAATTTCTGGAAGGAAATAGAGAAGAGAAAACCTTGCATTTTAAACTGGTTTTTGGTCCTGAAAATGCTTTGGCTGAAGAGTCAAACTGGCAAGTTCTGGGGAAAACGTGGTACTTTTGGTGAAAATACGCAAAGAAGAAAGAAGTTGTTTTCCATTCTATGTTCAGTGCTGTGACAGAAAATTTCTAAGTGGCTCAAATCCCCGTGGAATTAGGGCAGAGCTTCCGTGGTCTTTCAGCCCGCCCCAGGTGATAACAGAGCTTGTGAATGTAGGGCCGGAACAAAGCGCTGGATGGCACACTTATCTTGTCTGAATTATTTACAACAGCAGTAATAACTCACTGCCATTGTCTTCATCCTCAGCGCCGAGGCCCTGGGGGAACACTGAGTAATGCAGAGTCTAACCCGTCCTCTTCCTTTTTGCCTTTGTGTTTTTCTTCTCCAACAGGTTGGCTGGTGATGGAGTTGGCAACGTCAACATCTGTGAGTTGATTTTATTATTTGTAATAGTTACATATAGCCATATGCCTATAGAAAATGTAGGTGGGGACCAGCTGGGTCTGCGTGCAGGAGCCTCATCGTGCCCTGCCTTAGCTTCTGCAACCCAGTTACCCCCCTTCTTAAATGGGAGCCCCCCGAGACAGAAGTCGATGGTGCTGTTGGCTCCATGGCAGACTTCAGCTCTAACTCATCTGTATGAACTTTAACTGGGGGGAACAGTGATCTTTCTTTCCTCCTATTTTTGTACGGAGAAAAATGTACTGATGAGAAAAGGCATTGCCTGGATTGGAAGTTAGTGCAGAGGTGACGTTAGAGGGTGTCTTTCCAGCTTGGGAAGCGTTGCCTACTCACCTTGCCTGGGCATCGGGCAGATGCTGGTGTCTCGGAGACGCTGTCTACAGCTCTAAACCAGTGGCTTGACTTTTCATCCACTTAATTGCCACTGCTAGCTGGTGAACCACATGCCCACAGGCTCTTTGGTGCACCAAGAGATGAGCTGAATGTGTTTATGATATGGGGTTCTCCATGCCGCAGGGGGTCCTGAGCCGGGCTGATGGAGTAGGAGATGGGCTGCTCAACCCTCACATGCGTCTGGCTTAGCACAGAAAATAAATGCTCTGGGCCAAAACGTAACAAGAGATTGGTACCCTGGGCCCTGTGTTTTGCAGGAGATTGTAAAGAGTTTTTATCTGGTTGCTGCAATTTAAAAATGCCCTTTTTGTGAGGGTGCCAAACTGGGTTCGAAGTTCCCTAACACTCATGTTTGGTTTGCTTCTCTCTGTGCCGCAGCCGTGGTCAGCTCCAGCAGTGGAGGTGGCTATGCCGGTTCCAGTGGATTTCTGGGAGGAGGAATCGGAGGAGGCCTTAGCCTGGGAGCAGGCATGGGCAGTGGGGTGCTCGGCTTCTCCTCTGGAGGTGGCTCCAAATCCTACAGCATCACCACAACCTCATCCAGCAGGAGAAGCTTCAAGAAGTAACTACAGGAACGGGGATCAGCGGTACCCATTACGTGGGAGGAGGGAAACCATAGAAAGAAAAGTTTTGTTGCCTTTTATAGGACAAGTTGGCTGCAAAATTTCTGCAGTGATGAATGAATTGGAATAAGACATACCAGAGTACCTGACCCTGCCACATCACGCCTAAGGCTTGATCCTGCACTGTTGAACTCAGTGGGAACCTTTCCACTGAGAGCAGGTTCAAGCCTGTAGGGTGAAATTTATCCAGTGAAGCAGGCGGTATAATGCTTTTGTTACTTGTGTGCTTGGTACCCCCTGCTCAGGGCTGGATTTCACCCTTTGAAGGTCAAAGCAATCATTTGAGTGGCAAGCTATTCCACAGTTCTGCTGTGGTTTTGCAAGAGACCAGAAGATTATCTCCCTCTTAATATGATTTGGAAGACTTTATTCCCTTAGGCTCCTCAGAAAATGCCAACCCTTGTTAAGATTTCAGCCTGGGTTTGTTTTCTTAAAGTATACCAAGAAGAAAACAGTGAAACTGTGTTTGGTTTCTCCTTATTTTCTTTGGAAATAGGCTCAGAAATGGAATTCAACAGTTCTCCTCTGAATGAAGCTGATTTCTTACCAAAGGCAATGCAGACAGATTTACTTCCAGGTTCTTTATAGCGAAGTAACTCATAAACAAGTTTCCCCACCCATTCCCTCTCCTTAAAAGAAGCCCAAAGCTTAAGGGATGTGAAGTTGCTTAAAATTATAAGTAGCACGCTAAAATGGGAGATAACATTCCCCATCCTTGGGCGTCTCTGTTTACCAGCCTATATTTCAAAGCATATCTAGTGATATCTGGTGTCCTTACTACAGCTAGGGAAAAAGCGTGTTTTGTTGATGCATCATTACAATAACGACTTGTTCCTGCCAAAATGTGTCTTCAACTTAAACATGCCAAGGAAAATAGTTAGGTTGTTACTGCAGTAAGAAGAATTGTTGGATAAATAACTCAAAGCAACTGCACAGAATTGTTGTATTACGTGCTCAGCCATGTCCTAGCAGTGTGTCTTTAGTTGACGTTTTATACCTTTGTGATCTGAGACCTTGTCATGAGGCCATTAATAAAGTTTCCCTATTGTGTGCTGCTTCAGTCCCAGCCGAGTTCCTTGCCTGTGCAGCCCTGGATGCTCAGGAGCTCTGGAAAACACCCGGTGTTATCCCCTTCCCCCTGTCTCCAGAGCCTGCTCCAGGCCGTGTCCCCTGGAGCAGTGCCACGCTGCGGTCAGGGTCAGGATTTAGGGTTTGCTGCCTGCCCAGTCTTTCATTCCTGGGTGACTTTTACCCATCTGCTTTGCACTGAGTCTGGGCAGCGGGCTGATGGGACTGCTTTTGTTCAAGCGCTTGGCTTCAGCCCAGCCCCAGACTGACGCTGACTGAGACCATCTTCCTCTGCTGAGCCAAGACGAGCTAAACATTGGAGGAGACACCTCTCTTGCAGACGGCCGAAGCTTGGAGAGGTGAATCTGGGCCTTGCTGCATGAGGACAACTCAGTCCTGCTCCTTTTGGGGCAGCGTGGGGTGAGAAGGGCTCACCGCAGGGTGATTTGTGCTTGCTCCCACCCCTCTGGCAGGGCGATGGCGCAGACGCGTGGCCTGCCCTTGCTGGAGCTGCTGTTGCAGAAGGCAGCACCCCGGTGGGGATGGGGCCAGGCAGAGATTTTGTAGTCACTGAGAAAAGCTGTTTCCTCCAGGATGAGGATGGCGATGAGGCTGCCAGGGCCTTGAAGGGTGCTTTACCCACCTGGGGACTACCCGGATCCTGTCGCTCCGGTGCCCGACGCGGCCCAGCACCTCGTGACTGAGCAAGTGCAGCGCTGAGCCTGTGCCTGGCTTTACTACGCAGGCGGCACTAATGGCAGGGAGGGGAGGAACCCGGGGTGCCCAGCAGAGCCATGTTATCAGCGGCCCGGCACGCCCAGCTCACGGCTTTTATGTCATAGCCAAAAAATCAAAATGAAAAAAAAGCCCTGAAGTTAATGGAAGAGCTCAAAGACAGACATTGCCCGGATGTTTTTGGCCAGGGGCTGCCACTGTTTGCTGTCATTTGCATGGCTTTGTGATACTTAGTGAGGAATTGTGGGTCTCTCTTAACATTATAAGAGATGAGCAGGGCTCTATCGCTGCTCCCTCAGTTTTGGGGTATCAGGCTTGCAGCGCTGACCTGGGAAGGGGCAGCTGCAGGCTGCGCGGCTGCGGATTTTCCGCATTCGCGGAACAACGTACGCTGCGTAATGGCGCTGGGGAAGAGGGGGTCTGCACGCTTTGGGAAACACCGTGAAGTATCTTTGTAAGTCTGTGCAGACGGATGCACTTTGTGCTTTGTGCTCGTTCTTTGGATCCGGTCTTGGCTCAGTCTGGGGTCATAAGTGGAGCTGGTTGAAATTTAATCTCTCCGCTGCAGAGCAGACGCTGATATTATGAAGGCAAAGTGCCCTGAATTAGCGTAAAAGCAGGTGTATTGAGAGTGTCTTGTTGACTGCAACTTCTGCAAGTTGGATTCAGGAGAAATAATTCAGCTTCAGAAGCAGCTTGGCAACAGGGGAGATTTTTGTACTTCTAGAGAAGGGAGGCAGACGTGACCCAGAGAAACCCAGCACCCACTGACTCCAGAGCCCTCCACCGCCGAGCGCTGCCGCAGCCCCGCTGCACGGCGTGTGAGCTGCCTTCAGCGCTCGCTCTTTGGCAGGCAGAGCTGTCCCCCGGCTCTCGCCACTTGGGCTGAGTCTCCTGGGTGCCAGACTTTGCCTCCCACCGCTTGTCGGAACGGCAGCTGAGCTTCCCGTGCCCCTGGGCAGGATGCCTCTGCTGGGGAGAACAGAGGCAAAAAAGGATGATGATGGGAGCAAGCAGGTCTCAAAGGTATTAAGAGGTAGAAAAAGCCATCAAACGATCCATAAAGCAGTATTTTTTTTGTCCTCCCTGTTCCACAGCAGTGACTAAGAAGTATAACAAGCATCTAAAATGTGGATAAAATCATACACGGACAAAGGACGTTCGTGTTGGTGTGGGGCCAGGAATGTGCCTGGTCTGGACGTCGGGGTGACCCGGGAAGCTGCTGTGGTTCATGGAGCAGCCGTGAATTTGGGCTCAGAGAACTTAGGGAAAGCTGGAGGTCGTTTAGCTTTGCAAATGTGAGTTGAGGGAAAGATGGAGCCCAGTAGAGAGCAAAGACAATTGCAGAGGGCAATTCCTCCTCGAATGGGCAAGTCCTTTGACCCATCTGGTGGCATCTCAGGGACGCTATTCTCTTCGTGCTTTGGGGCAGGGTATGGCCAAGACATCCCTCCCAGCCCCGTTTTCCCTCCTGGTATGATGTAGGCAGGTAATACGACACAGTCAGCAGCACATCCATCTTTCTGTACTCAGCTGTGTATTTTCAGCCTTCCACAGCACAACTCCAGAACTGGAAGCGTTGCCTTCAGCACTGAAACGTCTCAAAGCCCTTCGTTATTATCACATCAGTTAAACATCTTTAGTAGCTCTGCCCCGGCGTGAGCATGTTCGTGGCTGGGGAGGTTGCTCCATGCATGCGCTTTACTCGCAGGCATTAAAGATGCCCAGCTGATTTCATCTGGGCGGTCAGCAGTACTTCTTCTTTCTGTGCAAGGAAATCTTGCTGCTTCCTCCGCTCATAAAAGCAGTGAAATTGCTTTTTTTTCCTTCTTACGGTGTTGATGGTTTCCACGCAGGTGTAAAGCCCAGCTATGCCTGCCAAGGCTCAGAGCGCTTCAGCTTCTGCCTCTTGCTCTCTGCAGGGTAAAATGCACAATAATTAAGTATACTTTATAATACTTATCAAGCATACTTGATAATACACTTTTTAAATCTAATACTTTAAGCAAATACTTCTTTGCGTGTTTGTTCTATCTCTGCTTACTCTTTGCCTCTGTATTTCTCCCCCCCTGCTGAGCTGTCCTGATTTTCTCTCCCCAGTTAAGCGCCCCAGCCAAATGCTGTGGTCCCGCTGGCCACCCCAGTGTTTCCTTCTGGGCCGCGTCGCAGGACGCGGTCGCTTTGCTCCGTCCGCCTCCCCCTGCGGCACTGCTGTACCACCAGCTGCGAACCCTGGGCTGCGACGTTGGCCGTGTGTTACTGTAATAGCAGGACTGAGGTCACGGGCAACGCGGTTCTGTCTGCAGATGTCAGAGTGTTTTACAAAGGAGGTAAGTTCTGTTCTTCTCTGTAGGGAAAAGGCTTGAGAAGGCGGCTGCAGGTGGTGGGGAGCTTTCTTCAGTTCCCTGGTGTTTAAGCTGCTTTTGCTTTGGTTTCCATCAGTTTTTCAGTAACTACCAAGGCCAAAACCCTGCTCTGAGGTTGATTTTGATTTTCATCTTGTGCTTAAAACAAATTAAATGGCACGAAACCAGTATGGGCTGGGCTGAGTCCCCAGCTCCCACTGGGCAGGGAGGAGCAAGGTGGGGGGGAAACAACTCCTATCCTGGGAAGGCTTCCACCTGGGATGCCTAATTAGCTTGATGGGAAGCCTAATTGGCTTGATGAGGTTATAAAGGACAACACCCCATGCAGTAGAGATGAAGAGAGGTTCTCCAGCCTCCTGCTGGAGATGGCGGCACTTTGTGCTGGAGCAGCCGCAGCCTGGGAAGAGGTGCGCAGGACGGGCTGGGAGTTGGGTCTGCTTTGCCTCCGGGGTCGCTGCAACGACGCTGTGCCCTGTTGGAGAGCTGAGCAGGACCTGCTCTGGTGCTGGGATGAGAGGAAGGACAAGGGGGTGTGAAACCATCCAGCAGCTCCTGGTATATGGCTTCCAGGAGTTCCCAGGCAACTCGAGGCAATTGGTGATGGTTTTAAGGGGATTTAGCAATCAATGATAGTAATAAAAAGTGTCAGTTAGCTTTATGCAAATCGCTAGAGCATCTTTGCTTAGTCAGTACCCTCTAAATGTTCTTGTTTGTTTGTTTTTCCTGGGGGAAAAATCATTTGGGGCTCCACCCTGTCCTAATGAAGACATCTAACCTGGGAAGCACCTGCCTCCCGTGCCTCGCTGGCAGCCGCTGTGCCGTAAACCCTCAGCATGGGCTGGAACGGGTCCTGCTCCTTCTGTGCGGGTGTGAGGAAGAAGAGAGCTGTACTTCCAACTCAGTGGTGCTCTGGAGAGAGGTTATAGCCCCGCTCCTTGCCTAGCTGCTCACATGCATGGAGAACAGATGCGCTGGGGGTTATACAAGCTTGAGAAATGGGCCTGTGTGAACCTCATGGGGTTCAACAAGGCCAAGGGCAGGGTCCCGCACCTGGGTGGGGGCAACCCCCGGTGTCAGCACAGGCTGGGGGATGGAGGGGTGGAGAGCAGCCCTGAGGAGAGGGACTCGGGGGTGCTGATGGATGAGAAGCTGGCCATGAGCCGGCGATGTGTGCTCACAGCCCAGAAAGCCAAGCGTCTCCTGGGCTGCATCCCCCGCAGCGTGGGCAGCGGGGCGATGGGGGGATTCTGCCCCTCTGCTCCGCTCTGGGGAGACCCCCCTGGAGCCCTGCCTCCAGCTCGGGGGTCCTC